GCTAATAACTTCATTAAATTATGAAATTAATCTATTGGAAGGAGTAAGCGGTTGACTTTCGTTTTAATTTTACCAAGTCAGTCGCACTAATGCAGTTTAAAAATTGTAAACAGGGGAGTTCCGATTTATCCAACGTGCCTTATCGGAACGCTAAATTATCAACATTCAACACATTTGTGGTATGAATCACTTCGGTACTACGCACCTTCTACCTTTTTGTGCTCAACTGGTTCTACTGTTCAGGCGCTGGCGTGACCTTACCTCAAAGAAGATTAAGGTGGCTCAGAAGGTTATACCCAGTACTAATTTCTTTAAAAAAATCAACGTTTTCATTTGATACCCTATTGTATTTTCTTCGTAAATTTGTAATATCGTAAATTAGTTTGATATTTATCCCACTCCCAATTCCATTTCAATTAATCTTATGTTTTATTAGACTTTGGATTATCAGACTCTCATTCGGTCCCGTTTAGGTCGGATGATCGTGACTTTACTGTACTTTGATTCTATCCACTAGACTACATTCTTTTGCCCTCTCGTTCTCTGAAAATAACTACGTCATTTGATACAAAACCATTAAATAACGTCCGCAATCACTCCAGTGCTTCCGAGTTATAAAGTTAGTTTTTGTTTATTATTCTTGTATACCATCCGCTGACTTTGTTGCTGCAATAATTGTTGTACTAAACACGTATTTCTTGTTTAAAGAACATGAATGGCTTCAAACAAGCTACACTAGGAATAAAACCTCTCGAATGTGTGTTCGTACTTGTTACTCGTGAATACAGGGAAATGAGGTAAGGAAGGTAATTGAGTATAAAAACATGAAATGGGTCAGATCACCTTTGTAAACACCCTGTACCACTCGGTGGAGCAATGCCGACAGACAGTCGCATATCGGGTTACAATTAACACCTGATACCGGATCACGCAAATTTGATACAACAGCCAGTCAGACCTCTATGTTTTATATAAGGGCTGGGTAAAGTTCTGTTTTCTGCCAAAATGAAACATTAATATTTGTTTTAATGACTCGAATATTTTTTTCGATGTGACGTATTTCAGAATATCTGTCTTCAATTTTTGGCGAAAGAAGTAACAGACTTCTAACGTCTGCGTTTCTTCAATTTTTTTCGTCTACACAGATGGACTAACAAGAACTGTAATTAAGGCACTAATTAGGCTATTCGGTTTAATGACCTATTTCACTGCTTAGTTTCCATTAGGAGAATACAGGCTTTCTAACTTCTGAAGACGAAGTAAGTAGACGCATTTCCCAATATATTTGTAAATTATATCGAATATGTTTTGGTTCGGATTTGAGGTTGTCACGGCAGATTATGAAGATGGCTGTCTTCTGTGTTATAGCGCCGTGTAGTCTGGTAGAAATTTACCTACGTTTCAGAGGTCATTGCTGCCTCCATCGCCTTAATGAACTGGAAAGGATAAAGTAAAAATTGGTATTGACCCAATTTAAGGCATTATTCTGACGAGAGACTGAGGATAACCACGAAAACGATGTCAGGATAACAGGTCACCTGGCCGAGGTTTAAAGCCGGGATCTCCCAAATACGAAACACGAGTACTGACCATTTGGAGCAGGGACCGAACTAAAAGCTTCGTGGGTCAACATCCTCATCACTCGATCGGTCACTCCATTAAACAGCGGAAGACGGAGAGAACAAAATATGTAGTAGGGCTCCATTTAGTTTATTTTGTGACTGAAAGTAAAATTGCAAAGTCGATAGATACAAAATAATAATTTTTTCAGCATATAATGTGTATTTACATACACACGTACATATATACAGTGGAATCTCGATATAACGTGGGTTTCGTGGGACATCTTCAATACCAGCGTTATATGTGAAATTGACATTTATCTAATTTTGGAATCTCTGATATTATGTATATTTATCCAGTGACTAAAATACATGAATTTAAGGTTCCTTTTCAAACTTATGTTTCACCAATGCTACTGGCTCAGACCACTCTAAATTACTCAACATTTATGACTCTTTACGAAAATAGTCACATAAAACATGTAATCATACTGGGGGACATGATCCCAGCCGCGGTATATAGAGGTTCCACCGTAATAAAATAAACATTGTTTCCGTTATTGCAAACCGGAATAACGAAGCAGCGGGTTATTGACTTCAAGCTCTTAAATTAGATGCAGGTACCTGCCTTTTTTGAGGATTACGATACTTTGGCGGTCAAACTAACAAGGAACTATGTAATAAATATGAATTTATTCGTAGCATTGTCTGGGAATATATGAAATTAGGAACAACACTTGTACCAAGGTGAGAGATAAGGTTTGAGCTTACCGAAATAATGAAAACTGAGGTTACGACAGCGGTGAAGATGTTACTTGTTGGTACTTGAGTTTAAACGCAGGTGGGTAATAAAGTTTCGGAGGAAAATCTTAAGGGCCTCAGGGTTGCAAGCCCACACAGCATTACAACCCAAAGAATTAACAACGACATGCTGAAAGAATGCCAAATACCAAGATGCTGACGTTGAACAGGAAGTTCGGAAAACAAATTAAACCTTCCGTTCATACGAGTTGTTTTTATGGCGAGGCTAGCAGGAACCATAAATTGATAATTATACAATTTTGTGATCTATTTTTGTGCATGGTTTATACAATGTTAAGTCGGCATCCAAATATGTCAAGTTTGTCAGTCTAAACGGTTTTCACAGTCGGCATGTTACAACGCCAATTTTTCATTCAGATTTGTTATTTCCGTACATAATTTTACAAACTTAGATCCAATCATTCATTAGATGTCGCAGTTAAACAGTCAAGCCCAAAGCTGAATACAGATTTCGCACTACCTCCATGTTATCGCTTTGCGTTCGGAAAAAGGACCAGGCCGGTTTACACGAACAGAGATCGCATATTTTTGAAGACCTTATCGAACACTATTCTGAAGGGTAATATATTAAGTGTCGCCATTGTGACTCCGTCATCAGCAGTAGGCCTGACTTACCCCGATTTACCCGCTGCATTAAGCGAAAACGTGTGTATATAGGCTTAGTATATTTTCTGATTTCATTATTAAAACTTCTGGTACGATTGTGAGCGGATGTATTTTAATTAAGAACTTAGTAGTCATGACATAATTAGGCTATTTAAATGTGAAGTATCTCTGTATTAACACAGAAAATATATTTAAGTATATATGAGCTTAAAATGAGTTTACTTTACAAATATGAATTTTTGTTATCATGCTGACAAGATAAATGCTTCTGAAGTTACTTAACGGGCTTAAATTGAGAATATCTAAGATTTATTGAGGCGAGCCGAAGGAGGTGGTGAGAGGGCGGGCATTAATTAGCTTGGAGGTTCCTATGACCCTTGGTCAACGAAGTGTGTCGTAAGGCGAGGGAGCTGAACATTGAACACAGAATAGGGAGATAGCAAATAGGTTTCCAATAGATCTGACAGAACTGTTTGTAAGTATGGCAGTCATTTTGTTGACTGTAAGATCACAATTATTTCTGTGTGGTCAATTATTACAGTTATGTGAGTAGAGGATGTTTACAATTTACTGATCTCAGGATCTGTGAACTATAGGCGTTTCGGCCGTTGACTTTTGAACACGCTGTGTTTCCACAATCAGGAATTAATTTTCATAAAGTAACGTACTGCATTAATATGTTTGCGACAATTATTTAGAGTTGGCAGTGCTACAATTTTGTGGGTCTAGGCTGTAGGGATGAAAAAGATTCTGAAATGAACGGTAGCAAATTATAATTTTACTTTTGTGTAAAAAGGCTAAAAACTATGTAACTTTGAACAACATTTATTTCTGAAAACAATTCAGAATAGGCTTTTTTGCGTAAAATAAAAATAATGTGTTTTGTTGGATAAAATGAAAACCAAACCAATATAAACATATAGGTTATGAATTTTCGCTTCGCAAGTTTTCCGGTCCCTGTTTTATACAACATGCAGTTCGGATACGTGATATTACTGTATTATATGTATCAAATTTGGTGCGTTATTAAGCTTTAATTATGATCCCCTGTAATACAAATTAAAAGTTACATAATTTGAAGTGCATCTCTGGAAATTGATTATTAATATGAGCCATGAAACTAATGCAATGCAGATTTCATACACTGCATCGTAGGGTTTTGGTTATCATATGCTACGTATTAACGAGTTGAAATAAGAGTATATCTGTGCAAAAAGATAGCTAATGAAATGTAATTACAGCTAGAGGAAGCCAGCCTGTGTCAGAGTAGTGGCGTCACTGAATAATGACGTTCATTTATACTGAACCGCGAAATATAACCAACTTTCTCTGGAACTGAAGAGCCAGAATTAGATGTCAAGTTTAACTACAATAGGATCTCGTCTAAACAAATAATGTTAAATCGTTACATTTGAAAGTATAAGGAAATTCTATTGCACCATTGTCGCCCTGATGATGGAGGCAGCAGGGACCTCTGAAACGTTGGCAAACTTCTACAGACTACACGGCGCAACAACTCAGAAGACAGCCAAATTTAAATGACGATTGCTTTCGGTGAACACTGCAATAAACCTTCGTGTTCTTAAAAAGGGAGGAATTTCTTGATCGTCTCACAACTGCCAGCTTCTTAAAAGACCATTCTTTATGTAGCTAGTTATTTGCACACTCATTATGTAGCTTTCTTATTCTCATTTATGGAAGGTGGATGGCCCTCCAGGTAAATGCCGGGATACTACCTTAAATTAGGCCACGACCACTTCCTTTTCCGATTCACTATCATCGTTTCATTCGACTTTATATAGTCTGAGCTACTGAAAAAAAGCGTCGTTAAACAAATACCAAATTATAAATCGTGACTGATGTTATCAAAGTGTTTTGAAATTATTAAACCGAATCTGTTGTGCGCATCGGTCAACGTGGGCTTTTCGGTAAAAATCGAGATTTCTTTTATAATTTATGTTTTTCGTTTGCATTAATTTCCTGCATACTTGGGGTTGTGATTTATTGCAGGAGTACGCAGAGACGGCCATGAACGAACTCTTGGGCTGGTACGGGTATGACAAGTTGGACAGCAGAGACACGCAGGGACTGAACCTCCACCACTTCGCAGCACAGAGGTCTCCCTCCGACCTTGATTCGTCAGACGCTGAAGGTGCAAGGAGCAGCAGTAGCCCGGGGCGTCGCGATGCAGGAACCGGATCATCACAAGGAAGTCCGCCGCTACCAGGTAACCGGCCCGGTCCTTCACTTCTGAGCACCAGAGGGTGCTAAAATGTTCCTATTAGCTTTGCCATCTATCTCAGCTAGAATGTAAACAACTCGAGAACGGCTATACGGAATTTCATGAAATTTCATATTATGTTGAGTTACTAAAATGTGCCGATACAGTCCAGTTCTTGTTGAAATCGTATGGAAATAACGTGTACTTTGTCCGTGACGAGTTTAATCACCCATCCAGACACCAGGGCATAAAAAATTAACAGCTCTGACGTCACTGACGCCATTTGCAATTCCAAGGTCATTGGTCTTAGGTCCAAGGTGGTTATTGGGTATAATATTAATGATATTTTACCTTGGCCTTGAGTGTTTCAAGAAATTTATAACAGCGAACGCAATCACGTGGGATAAGTAGACGTTGATGGAATCCGATATCAAAAAGGACTTTAAATAGTGGGCTTTTATGAACACGGTAATGAGCCTTTGGTTCCGTAAAATGCTGGGAATATGTTTACCACCTGATGGACTGTTAGCTTCTCATGCTGCATGCAGTTTGATGTAGGCCTACTTCTGGTGTTGTAAAAGAGCATAATTCTTTATTCGAAACGCGTTTCACTAGCATCGCGTGTCTTCGTGTCCTGTTTTAAGCACGAACGGTGCAAACATCGAGTAATCAGTTTCTTTCATGAACGGCTTTACCTTCGGAGGAAACTCACTCATCTTTGTAGTTTCTGGTTTCCTGCCTGCATAGCTGGCGTGCAAACTTCAGAGGTGGGAGGGCAACAATATTTTTTTAGGAAAAGGGAATATAATATGACGGCGTCTGTGTTACTAAATCGCAACACATTTGTTGTTTGACTAGTAACAAAGTGAATAAACTGCTTACTGTCCGTCCTTCAGAATGATTTATCTTCGAAAATACTACTGTTACTATGATGCTAACCTGCGTGTCGTTGACTGAATTTTATTTTGGTTCGTATTGATAAAATATGGATCCAGTCAAAAATCAAACTTTATCTGTTTCTTCAGAAACTGCACGTCTTACATACAAACAAATGTTTTTGAAACAGAAAATATAGTAGCAGATGTTGCTACAACCTACAACTTTCATGTGAAACATTTTTAGATGCAGTGAACTTATAACGAAATTGATTTCAGACACTCGGGTAGTTCAGATTCGCATAAAAGGTGCCTGCCTTCATCTGTTGTTGAAGAGGGTTTGTAGTTACGTATAATTATTAAATTTCATACTTTAAGAAATTTCTAATCGTTGTATGCATTCATAATTTAAATATTATTTAGCTTGAATGACAACACAAAGTTACCAAACCATGAGTAGAGATTTTTGAATCAAAAAAGTTCAACCTTTTTCACAAAGACATCGATTTCTCGCAAGATCTAAACATTGTAATAATATGCATAAGATATAAATAGCCTATATTTGTATTGTTTGCTTCAAGGTTGTCATGACCAACGATGTATGTATAATCGAAAAGAAGCCTTTTACAAAATATTAAGCCTACACTTTGAATTCTTGTCTTCTTTGTTTGAAACTAGACGTAAATCCATTTTTCTTCATTGTAGTTGTTCTCAGTCATGGAACATTTGCGTTCTAGTTGCTGGGCTTTCAGTTTCGAAATGAACTGGATTTGCGTTCAGGCGTATTGGGGAGTTTATCACACGGTAATTCCAATGCGGTGACCACGTGACTCCTAACATTTCTGTCGTATTGTACTTGCCGGAGGGCCACCATTGCAGAATCGGACATGTTCAGTACAAAGCAAATGGTGAAGTGGAGCGGTACAATGAACCCGAGCCTCGTTCCGCCTTCGCCGTCCTTTCGTCGTCACCGCCGTCTATACACGGCTGGCTATTCTTCCCACGGCCCACTGAAGGCGCGGGGTCGTTATTAGTGGCGGCACGCCCCCCTCGAAGTGCCCCCCGCCCCTGTATGGCTGTGGGCGTGGTCACCGTCTACCTGGCGACCTTAATTACAACCTGAGGTTCTGTAGGGAACTGACTACGTCATCAAGTCACGCCAACTGCGTGTCGGTACGGACAGGAGGACTGAAGTACCGTCATAATGGAGCAGATCTGTGACGGTCAGAATGACGTAGTTGCCGGCGCCAGTCACCAAAGTTGCTGACAAGTACAAAGGACACTCTGGTTTACGAAGCGATCTCATACAGCAATTTACCAGTTGCACGATTATAATGTGGATTTTCAGAGCACAGATTCTTGGTTTCTGATTGACGCGCGTTTTAAATGAAATTCACCCAGTCAAAATAACTATCTCCATGGAGCAGGGTGCTTCTTCAGAACCGAATAGTAGCTCAACTGGTCAAGAAATCCCCAGCTTTTATAGAACAGGTGTATTAATATACCCAAAGTATTCGGCAACTGTCCCGTGTTCTCAGCTGTAGAAATCAAGTTCAGAGCTTCACATGTTATATCTATAAGATCCATTTTAATATTATCTTCAAATTTACACCTACATTTTCCAAGTTGTCTTTTTCCGTCCTGTTTTAGCAAATTCCGTTGAGCATAGCCATTTTGAAACTGGTAGGAGATCAGCTAAGACATTTCTTGCTTTCTTTAGGAAACACGAATGTTTTCACAAGAGATCACTGTCCTAGCAGCAATTAATCTAATCCACATTCATCCCATTTCTTTAATAGCCCCTTCCCATTCACGTCTACGTGTCTGAAGTGATTTTTTCCTTCAGAGTTTTGGGCCCTAATTTTATATTATACATTCCTCATACCATGCGCGCTACACGCGGTGCCCATCACATCGTCATTAATTTTATTGTCGTGATAGTACTGTTGAACGTTAAACCTACACGTTATGAAGCTCTAGCGATTTCCTCTCTTTAACGTA